TGTCATTGAACGCGGCCGTTTTAAGCATGAGTCACAATTCTTTAACGAGACAAATGAAGTCAATATCCTTGACTAATATTCTATTTTACTGTTGCGGAATGCTTCATTATCAATATCGTTTTTATAAGTTGTAATCTGATGCTTGATTAGCCTTTCCCATTGATGATGCTGTCAGAACGTTTGAGAAGGTACCAATTCAACGGTCTTCTGTTGTAGCTAACCCGGTCTGTTATTGATGATAACGTAGAAACAAGTTGCAAAAAAGTGATCCTACCAGTTTTATTCATTTTATTTCCAGCATTTATACCCACTATTAATTTGCTACCTTCCACAACGATCAAGCATCCAATGTTGGGCTGCCTGTAGATTTTACTGCTTCTTTTTGTTTCTCCTTAAGTGCCAAGGGCAAGTGGAAATACTTAACATCAATCTCCTGTCCTTAGGTTGAAGCTGGTATAAAACGTATCCGCCATAAATCTTATACATTAATTTAGGGACTGAGTATGACACTTTTTCAATAATGGCAAAGCTAAGAGTCACGAGATAATTAAACTCCACTTAATCTTTCCTCACAAAAGGATTTTTTATCCAAGCTTCAAAAGGCTTAAAAATCTTTCCTCATCGTTTCTTCCTCACCCCAAATAGCTTTGAGACTGAGAATTGTGCATCGTACCAATATGTTATCTTTCGCCACATTACCACAGGTACCATTTAGTCATAGAGCAGATGCGGCTTTCAAAGCCAACCTGGTCTTTCGTAAATCACATTTTTAACTTGAATTAATGATGAGACAAAAGTGTGTTTGCTAGTAAATTGAAGATGCTACTTAACTTCCTTGTGTAGATGTTTTTAATTAATTACTAATTATTGACTTCATTTAATCACCTTAAGCAATGTGCGGTGAGTATGCTTTCATTCAAGTACTATTGATAGTTTCAAGTAAATTTTAGACCCAATCACTTAACATGGAATCAAAACAAATGTAAAGCACCTCTAATAATGTGATTTATCGTCTCCCCCCTTTTGGTTAAATTGACCTTGCGTTCTGCGATTCTGTTATATCTCATCCCAATATGTAAGCTACTTTCCTTATAAGAAAGCTTTATTCTTTCCATTATAAGCCATTTTTATTTTTATCTAAAATTATAACATATGTTGGAATATATTAGGAAATTTTCACACTTGATACATAGTTTGGACGTAAACCGGATTGATTCTGACCCGCCCGTCACGTCAGGCAGGGGCATGAAACTTATCTAAACCCTTAAAAAGTGTAAAACCAATAATTTTGCTTGAATTATAAGTAGGCCGTCTAAGATGGTGTGGATTTTCTTTTCGTCACAACCTACTTTTGCTGTATAGAAATAGTCTTACTTCATTTTCGTAGCTTGGTCATGCTATTAGGAATTCCTCAATTAGTATATCATGTGCTGAATTATATATCTTTGTATTAATGATTACTTCCATAACATTGCCAGGCGTTTCGGTGACATCACTATCGAAGTCCTCAATGAGTCTTGTTATTCCCAGCAGGACTCATCAGGAAGATAAATGCCGTCCATAGCTTGATCAACTTTCGGCTAAGAGGTTTGGTGCACATGAAAATATGGAAAAATATACTCTTAACCATCTTAGAAAATTGCCATTTTGGATAGGAAAGTTAAGCTGAATTGACTAAAAACACACTCAAGAGATGTCAAGGAGACCAGAAATATACGTTCTTAGTTGGTTCAGAGTAGGCGGGTTAAATCAGAAAGGTGGCCCGTCAAGTCACCGCCTGACAATGAGGGGTACCAACAAGTGGGGAAGTAAAGACTTTGGAGTCCAGTTATTAGATGTTTCTGGCTGATCACGGGAAATAAACACCTAGAGTATGACGGATGATGCAAAAAGGGCCTAACGAAATCAATCAAATACAAAGATTAGGAACGGATCATAGAGGGTACGAGGAAGATTCTGATTGGAGTTGGATTGTGGTCGATTTCCGACAGAAAAAATCAAGTTGGATCACCAATTCCTACACAAATGGAGGCATAAAATGGCGGATCTCGGAAGTAGATCAGACTATGTTTGCTTCCAAACTTTAAAGGTGATTTGGCTTAACCTAAAGGTTGCATTTTTCCTGTGATCCGTTGGAATTCAAGGTTGTGTGGCGAAGGGATAACCTATTGCAAATTGACTCAGAAGACCCAGTCTTTTAATCCCGTTTAGTATGAGGATGAAGCATATTCGAGGCCTAAACTGCAGTTTAGCCTGGATAGGAAATTTTTTCTGCGGAAATGCCAAATAAAGTTGTATTGTATCATAAAGTATAATCCTATCATTTGGGGAAAATTACACTCTTAGTACTCATATCATCTTGAGCGACCTAGGGAGATCAGGTTCTTGACTCAGAATAGCCAAGGTAGAATTTGTGACAGAGAACGGGAGATAGATAAGGAAGAGAATAGATAAATGAATCAGGCTGTTGGGAAGAGATACAGCGTAACCTTTCATTAGAAATTCAGTCAAGAGATGGATTTCTTTTGTTTCTTTGATGAGTTGTAGCTCCATGACGATGTTGACGAAACGTTTGTGTATGCACCACAGCCACTTTCCTATGCTGGAAATTATCATAACTGTATGGCAGAGGATATCGAAAAATGTATCTTTTTCTAGGCCCCTTTTGCAATACGACTAAGGTATACAAATAAGGTCTGACACAGTTTATATAGTTAAAGGAGGCCACAACCAAAACGTAGCCTACACCATCTTGGCTATTAAATCCACGATTAAATTAAGGAATAAAGCCTGCTAAGCAATACAGCGAATCTAGCCTGACAAAGAAGTTGAATGTAGGCCAATAATATAACTTGACTTTGTCAAAATTGTTGTAAACGTTCTGATGTCTTTTCTGTATTCTGCAACATAACTCGGTGCTGCCAATCGCACATGCCAAAATCCAGAAAGTAGAAGAAAATTTTGCTGGATAGCAAGTCTAAACTCAGATATGCAGCTCTTCAAAACTAGTTTGAGGCAGACGAAAACTCTATGCATGTATTTAGTAAGCGGTTCAATACTGGAAGAAGACATGCCAGAAAGGGCAGATGAAAAAATATGTGATACATTCTTCGAGGTCTTCTTGACACCATGACCAAGTTGCAAAAACGAGTTCAAACAAATTACAGTATCATTCATTCATTCATTCATTTTATCATTCATATCGCTTTCCAATAGAATGATCAAGTCTCTCTCCATCTCCGACAATGTCCAACACGAATATGCCATACAATTTTTTTTCCTTTTTCTTATCTCGTAATGACTATCATGACAGAATGGCTTATAGTAAGACTGCCCAAACTTGGTTGTTGCATCTTTTGTTAAAAAAAAACCTTAGACCGAATAAATTTGACTCTGACCACATTAAAATTTTGTCAATGCAGCCCTCTAATCTTTATGACCCATATTCAACTATTTTCGTGTTCGATCAGATGGCTGAGTTCATTTCGCGAATGGACAGACAATCAGCCGGTGTTTCACCGACCATTCGCCGGGTCGAAGACTCGTTGGAGAAGAGGATTGTGGATCTCGAGCATCGACTAAATAAAAGCGTAGAGACGACCATAAATCAATTTCACACAAGCACCAAGATGGACATGAGCGAGCGCCACCAGCTGGAGAACCGACTTCTGGAAAAGGTCCACAACGCCATGGCAGCATACGAAAACAGAATAGTAAGGGTATTTAATGATAAGGTTTAATTAAGCAAACTATTTTATTAATATAAAAAAATTAGATCGCAACTAGGGCAATAAGGTGCTCTTAACTAACGGTAAGTAGACCATTTACGTCTCTACAAAAATCCACAGAATGTTAACAGCATGTTTTGAAACTCTCTGAAAGCACGAAGCAGAGTATTTATTCAATTATCTCTAGGATACTTTAAATTAGAATCTATTGCTCAATCACTGCTACTCACAAAGATGAAGTCACTGAGATAAATTTACCTTATTTTGATTAAGGTGATATGAGTAGACATGATGTTTCCATTGAATTTCACATAGCCTTGCTTCCCCAAAATTTATTCGCATCCTAGCTGGACTGGACTGCAGTTTCACCTTCGCCTAGGTCTTATCGACGCTCCCAGCGGGACTCGAACCATGACAGTGCAGCGTCTAATCTCGACACGTTGATAACTACACTACATTGATACAAGTGCCCTTAGGTCACAGGACAAGTATGAATTTCAAGGAGAGCCAGGCACTTTTACATATTACATTCTTTGGTGGGATTGCCGATGAAGCAGTTATATTTGCTATAACAATCGACTACATTATTTATACTTCGTTCATAAGTAGGGTTTAACACCACCAGTAAATCAGATATATGATATGTATTTACCCTATTTTGTTTAAGGTGAGTAGAATGAGTAGATTATAAAATAAACGAAAGATGAAGCCACTGAGCCTAGCCCTAATGGAAAAACGTATCTCTCCACAGCTTTTGCTAGATTTAGAAGGTTTTTCAGCTTTACTCGAGAAGCTATAGTGACTGTAATCGATAGACTAGCCTTTGAAGTCAGGAGCCCTGATTTATTCCGTTTTTGATAGCATCTTTGCTCTGATAATGTCTGTTCGGATTAAGATTAGTATTAAGGGAATAATGGACGCGTTTGATCTTAAACGACTTG